GGAGCCCAGGAGTTCTTTCCGTTGGGCTTCCTCACGGCTTGTCACCGGCCGGCAGAAAAGCTGTTGCTGTTTGTGTTTCAGATCAGTTGTGTTTGATGTGTTTTCCCCTTGGACACCCACCTACCGCCCCAACCACTCAACAGATTCCACTGGGCAGTTCAGCCCCGCGGCTGATGTTCTTCAAGTGGCATTGCCTTTTCCCAAACCATGCCACCACCACCCACATCTCACAGCCTCCTAAGGAGCTGCCCGTGGTGGGTGGGGATTGTAGAGTTGATCCCAGTGACTCCTGTCGCCCAGAGTCGTGTTTTCCAGGTGCAGCCGTATTCCGGTCTTTCATCGGGAGTTCAGTTCTCCTGATGGATGAGTAAGAACAGCGATCGCTTTTTTTTTTTTTTTTAATATTGATTTTTCATCTAGTGACCACGCGGAGCGGTTGAATTTCTCATAGTTTCTCGGTTGATTGGAGGGTCCAGGTGGTGACTGCTGTTCCATGACGCCCTCAGGTCAGTTCTGCCTGACGACAGCCCGCGTGTGAGACAGAACAAAGCACTGCCCCGCCCTGTGCCATCCTCACAGCCGTTGTGTCTGAGCCCATCCGTGCGTCTGTCCATCTGGTTGAGGGTCTTGCTGCCCTTCCACTTGACCAAGCAGAATGTCCTTTTCCGGGCACTGGTCTCTCCACAACGGACTTGAGACGAAGTCTCGCCGTCCTTGCCTCTCAGGAGCACCCTGGCTGTGCTTCTTCCGAGACAGATGGGTTTGTGGCGGTCCGTGGTCCTTTGAAAATTCAGCGCCATTGTTCAAGTGCATCAGGTCTTCTTTGGTCTTCCTAATTCAATATCCAACGCTCACCTGCCTGTAAAGCAGTGAAGGGATCCCATGACTTGGCTCAGGCGCACCTTACTTCTCAAAGTCAACCTCTCTGCTTTTCAACCCTTTAAAGAGGTCTCGTGCAGGAGACGGACGCAATGCAATCGGCTGTTGGCTCTTTTCCACGAGCTTTGATTGTGGAGCCAAGCCAGATGAAAGCCTTGACATCTTCCATCTTTTCTCTGCTTTTCATGATGTTGCTTCATTGATCCAGTGATGAGGAACGTTGTCTTCGTTACTGAAGGCTGTAGTCCTTGATCTCCATCAGCAAGTGCTTTAAAACCCCCTCATTTTCAGCCAGCAAGGCTGCGTCATCTGCACATGACAGGTGGTTAATAAGCCTTCCTCCCGTCCTGATCTTCATTCTGCTTCATATAAACCAGCTTCTCTGATGACTGGCTCAGAATACAAATTGAAACGTATGGTGAAAAGATACACATACCTCTCCTGATTTTAAACCTTGCAGTGTGCCCTTGTTCTGTTCACACAACCGCCTCTTGATCTGTGTACAAGTTCAGCAGGAGCACAATGAAGTGTTCCGGAATTCCCCTTTTTCTCAAGGTGATCCAGTTTATATCGTGATCCACACAGTCAAATGCCT